GAATGAAAAGCTTTGATCTCTTCATTGCTGAAAAAGCTGATAACTGTTGTAAGCAGTGTTCATACCTGGCGTCAAGAATTTCAAAAACTACAAACTAATAGCATACTCAACCCTAAAAAACTATCAACAATGTACAACTATTGGTAAAAAACCAAAGAGAAAAAGCAATTACACGGTGTGACATTAGTAATTTGAAAAACTCATAAGGCTTTGTACTTTACCTATATTGATGGGGGCAGTATATTCATAAGCATATTGATAGAACTTTCTGGCTGCTGCTGCATTCATCTGGATGAGACTAAGACAGCGCTCACACCACACAGTCTCAGGTTGGTTAGTGGGAAAGAAAGAGTTGAACAAGAGATTCACTATGCGTCGTGACACAGGCCGTGAATCAAATTCCAGACGAGTCAGAAGATGCTCCACGGGACAGATATTCCAGAACTTTTTTAAGTGAGAAAAAGGTATTAAAAGAGTTAAAGAAATAGAGGAAAAAAACAATCACCTTCATTAAGTATTTTCCATGTCAATAGTCTCAACAAACAGAACATTCACTAGGAAAGGAAGAACATTTTTTATTTTTACCAAAACACCAGCGTGTACTGGAGGTCACATACTGCTCCAACAATGTCAGTTTGCTGTTCTGATGCACCTCTAAATCTCCTGGCATCTCTGACAGAATGATAAAATTCTAATTCAAGCAATTCCAGCTCAATATACCTGCAATGCTAATGCAATTCCATAGGTACGGGAAGAATTCTCTCTAACAGGGTCTCATCACAAAGTACAATTATTTGTCATTATGTGTTATGTTTTGTATTTCCATCATGGGACAAAGTAGGACCAAACTACCTACAAGTACTGTATACACCCTAAAAACCTGTATGGATCAACACCCTTTCCAAAACCATCCCAAAGAACAAGTGCATCCCATTGTTAGCAGAGCTTTAGTTTATTTGTAGGCAGAAATCAAAGGCTATGAAATTCAGGAAGAATACACAGCTTGTTATGCCAGTGGGAACACTACTCACATTTGCAAGTTTTGTGAGAAGATCCTGAATTAATTATGCTCTGCAATTTCAGATTATAACAAAAAGAAAAACTAACAAAAAGAAGGGTTTCTTGGCATCATAATAAAGTTTTGCTTTATTCTTGAGTAGAAATATTTGCAGCAGCTAATCACCCTGTGAATTCAAACCATGGGCATCCCCACTAGAATTGTCAGAAAAAGAAGGTCCTTGTAGTAAGTATTAAAGTGATGCCAGGATTTACCAGAGATACGTACTAGAGATTTTAAATAAATGGTAAGTTACTGAAAAACATCTAACACTTCCTAGGAATTTTTTTTCTTTTATGTAAACCCGCTCCTTCCTTCCTCAAAAAAATCCCTGAAGTTGAGAATGATCTTTTACCTCTGTCTTTAATGACAGCAAACTCATAATAATTCAGACAAGCCAAAAACTGATTGTTTGCTTGAGCTTTCATACTGAATGACAAATAACTTTAAAGTGAGAATTTTTTTATAGATTTAACAGCAACACGAATACTTTGTCTTTAAAAGACTGTACACAAAGTAACAACATTCAAAATTGATTTAAAGCATTGTTAATATTGAATACAAGTTTTAAAAATCTCAGCTGCATTTTACTACACTCGTAACTGATATTAGTGGATCAAACCATAACTGTAGGTGCCAGTCCTTCAAATCATACTTCTGTATCTTAGGAAGAGTTAGAGCGCAGCACAAGAAGTGCTGTACCTGTGAGGTTATTGAGTGATGCAGAAAGGACTATTAAAAAGCACACAAGATTATAAAAATGACATGTAACTAGATTATTTGGGGAATATGCTTGCTGAGCATTTTTCAAATAACATTTATTTATGGATATGATAGAAATCATGGTGAAGATTTCAGAGCCCAGCACCTTCAGAACAAGTTCTGGGATCTGTTGTTTCTGCTGATTCTCTAAGCCAAGCAATACATCTCCAAACACACAGATACCATCAGCGTGAGGTCCAGGGTCAGAGACACTTTTGCCACTTTAATTCAGATTTACCTGGTAAACCCTGGCACCAGAACCTTCCAAAGCACAAACTTCAGGGGAGAAAAAGCTAGCTTTTACAGTACTACCACTTGTTTATAACTCTGAGTTGCCCCCTCCTGTTATCTCCAACAATCTTAACAACCAGAACCAATTGTCTAAATAAACATAGAGCTGCAGGTTGTTATCTGCAAACATTCCTAGAACCCCACTGTGATGTTCTGCTGCTGGCAGTCCAAATGAAAATACCTTGTACTCAGGTATAGAAGTATCAAACTTACTGTTGTGTTATTGTAATCCCTATCCTGAACCTGTGTGCAAGAAGCCAAAAGCTCTCAATTCTGAAAATAACCTCCCATTTATCATCGTCTCAGCATCTCTGGAGGAATTTGTAAGGTACTGAGGTGGTCCAATCTCAATACATGTCTTTAAGGTCCTGTCATCAAAGCTGGAATGCACACATTTGGCAAGTAGGTAAGTCTTGTCTTAGGGCTATAGGTGTCCTTGAGTGCTGAAAGCCTTGAAAATCTGATGAACCAAGTATTCATTTAATTCTCTTCTGAATGACAGAGATGCATAGCTTAACTTCATACAGGCTATGTGCCTAGCACAAGACAATCATGTCCAAATAATTAGGTTTAGCAAATGACAAAAATATCTTTAAAATAAAATACAAAATTTAAATTAGGAAACCACTAACAGCAGACAGTGGAGAAAGAGTTCCAAGATGCTATAAGGCCTAATGATACCACTCTATTAAGAGTCCACAGCAGAACACAAAGTTAATTCAAAATCACTATAAAAAGACTGAAATCATGAAGAATGTGCCCACAAAACACAAACAGACATTACAAAAATAGGTAAATAAATGAAAAACTGCTATTGGGTAAAGGTGTTAAGCATTTAGAAGGTAAGAGTGCTGCCCTGAGCAGGGCCCTGAAGTACAGGAGTCTCAAAATGTACTTCCTTTTTTTGAAATAAATGCCTTGGTTTTGTCTCCTTGCTATTTGTCAAGTGTCACTGATCCTACCTTAGCAGCCTTGGTAGCCTTAACTTTCAGCAGCATCTCAACAAAAGCCACGCGCACTTTCTCCGAGCTGTCATGAAGGCTGTGTTTGGTCACTGGCAGGAGCTGCTCCATTAACGGGTGACTTAGTCTGTTGTCCAAAATTATTGGCAAGCACTAAAAAAAACCCCCAGAACCAGAAAGAGTAGAGTTGAAAAATATGTGGCTAAAAATTGTTGAACTGGACCGTGACCCTTCTAAGGTTAAGCAGAAACAGACATTGTACATGTATATTGATCTTGTAATATTCTTCAGCAAAAATTGATGTGGTTATTTCAAATTTCCAGTGAATTGTTCAGTGAAATCATTTCAGCTGAAGCAGCTTCAGACCTACACTGAGGCCATAGTCTTCCCTTCTACCTGAGGGCACACTGTCAAGTGCTTTTTATGGTAACAATTCCAGATCCCTAAAATCTGATGATTTTGAAGTAAAAATGAATCTTTTTTTTTGCTAGTTTATTTTAAAATCTGCACTTTCTGCTTATCCAGTATAGCCCCAATGCAGCTGTAAAGGAGCTAGTAAGGATTAGCATAAAAATAGCTCCAATTTAAGACTGAACTGACAAGGACACAAAACCTTCAAGTGAAAGTACTGCCCAGGGAATTTATTTTTCTGTCTAGACTATTAGTTATTTATCAGATGCCAGAAAGATGTAGAGGAACTAATTCTAACATACTGAGCAATGCATGGCAGGAGGCAATACCAGAGAAACTGTGTGGAATTATATGCATCCAAACTTCAGAGACACAAATGGGGCACAAAATCCTAGTTGTGCATGTCTTTGGATGCATTAAAACCAGGACAGAAACATCCTGGAACCTGCCTGCATATATTGTCAAGTCTATGCATCATTTCTTATAGCTGAAGTAACTAAATTATCAGGTGCAGACAATGTGTGTAAGACTGGAAATGCAAAGTGCTTAAGAGTCAGGAAGCCAAACAGTAACTTTTTTAAAAGGTATTTGTGCATTCCAAATGTGTGACTTCTATAACACATGCAAAATTTCGATGGATTAGGAATCTTATTGCATAAGTCATTTTGCAGAACAAGTAATTTCCTTGACTTCAAGTGGCCTGTACTAGAAACCTGTGCACCAAATAAAATGCCAGAATGACAATCACGATTTGAAATTTAAAAAAACAACTTACTTTAAAAACAGAGCATCGAACATCAGCAGATGCTACATCAAATGCCAGCTCTTCAATTATTTTTTTTAAAAGTTCAGCAAGAATTGTTGGAGGAATCATCTCCCAGTATTTGGATGTTATCTGAGTCACTCCAAGGATCCCTGTAGAGCGGACAGCTGGATGAGGATCTTCTAAGAGACTCTAAAGCAAACAGAAGAAGAAAAATGTGAGTATATGCATTATTGTGGATCTATTGCTGTTAGACATGAACCTATTCCATTACCATTTTATCATTATGCAAATTGTCATACAATAAAAGAAGTGTAATCCTGATAGTCCCTTAAGGCACTTTAATATAATGCAAGATAGGAAATTTAATGCAGAAGCAAAATTAAGACAAATATTCGCCAATTTTTTTTAACTGGACTTTTGAAATATTTTATTTTAAAAACAGATCACATTAAATCTTGCATTCATGACTTAATTAAAAATATTTAGCCTTCTATTTACATGAGCTTCCACTGATCACTGCTTCTATGCAACAACATAAAAACTTTGACATTCATTCAATTATCTGATGCTTACTCAGGATTCCCCACACATTTTCTTCATGAAAATACTTATGCCAGATCTCACCCATCCAGACAGGCAAATTTTTAGGTTCTTACCTCCATTATATTTAATTTCAGAATTATTTAGTAATAGAGTACTAAACATCCACTGAATGCTTCAAAATCAACTGCAAAACTCTCTTTATCACTCCTGGGTTAAGTAAGGCTCAAGATCCATTACTCATGTTTCTAGTCTTTCAAAAGCATCTCTCATTCACAGATGAATGAATTACAAATTTCCTTTTCAGGCTTGAAAATGGTGTGTGTCACCTGCTGTGAACATACTATAGAAATTTAAAATATTAGCTTAGTTTTGCATTTTGTGTACCACAGAGCTTCTATTTCCATGAACTTCAATTGCCTCAACAACTTATTTTTGAGCTAGCTTTGATGAAATTTCCATTTTTAAAATCTTCGTTTCAATAAAACTTACAAAAAGTTCTTCAAATTGTTTCTGAATTTCATTGTCCATCTCTTCAGCCTTAAATCTTGGATCACAGATGGGAAAAGCATCAACAAAGAGAAAAGCTGCGTTTGCTCGAACTTCTGAGTTTCTGGCCTGTTACAATGGAGGAAGAAGTATTTTTTCAATGAGGACAGACTGTTAATATCCAAAGGCATATCCTGTCAAATACTGTTCTCCCAACACTTTTAGCAAGTTAGTGTTTTTAAGTAAGTAGATGGAAGAGATTAATTTTAAAATGCATGGAAGAACTTACCATCATACATGACTTTTAATGTTTTGCCTTACATTTCTGCTCGTTCAGTAAAACCTGAGTTATGGTTAGAATCAGCTTTCAAAGCATATCAACATCAATGACCCTGAGGAGTATATAGTGAGAGCCCTTCTGCTTTCTGTAATGCTGAATAAAATAAAAGCAGTTGGGATTTCTCTTGGTTGCCTTATAGCTCCTCTTCAGGATACAAGAATCTTGAATTGAAGCAGATTGAATTAATTAACTTGCCTGCCAAGAGACAGGTGGTTTAATTGAAAAGCTCAAACTTATTTCTACAAGAAAACAGTATTTAGTAACTAAGTACCAGAAAGCCTGGAGAGTAACTTATCCATCATAAACATGTTCAGTTCTGCATTTATGCACATAAGTAATAGGACCATGTTCTGAGGCAGCTCATCAAAAATCTATGGAAGCCTCACAACCCTCAGACACTTTACAGTTTGTAATAGTTTTCAATGTACTCCACCATATATGTCACTGGTTGTAGAGCCCCAAATGCAAAGAAAAATGAAAAAGGTGAATATTTAGACACTCATTCAGTGAAAGAGAGGCCATGTGGACCCTAAAAGGAAAGAAAAAGAGAGCAGGCAATGAAATAATGATGAAATCCAAGGCATCTCTGGGATGCACTGCAGTGCAATGATAAGAGCCTCTACCAACTTTTCTTGGAAAGAAGAGGGAAGGTCCAAGTTAAAACAAACAAATGTGTGTGTATATATATCTATCTAGCAAGAGAGAGTGAGAGAGAGAGAGAGATAGAGGTAAAATAAGCCAAGGAGCCTTGATTTTAACAGACACACAGTTCAGGGAACCTGACTATTCTAACCATCCAATTTTCTTCTTCCCTTGTCAATAACAAACACTCAGATCAAAGGCAGGGAAAAGAAACATGAGGATAACCATGTAACATTTGAACCTAAATAAACTAATGGCAAGTAAAACCAGAAGAAAAACCACAAAAGAAATTAGCAAGAATTGCAGCATGTACAGTTTATTTTGTATTTCTCCTCTGGATCAATCCTGATATGGTGGGTCACATCTCTGGGTACATCCAAAACATTCCAGATTCTTCCAGCCAACAAAATTAATATCAATTCTAACCTGAATACAACGAAGGCAAATAAAGCACATACATACATTCTTTAGCTTGGGGCTTGTGTTTTGCTTTATTTATCATAGAAAATGCAAACAGTTTAAAAGTTGAAAGATCATAGTTCTTAATTCTTTCCTATAAAGCCATAGAAAATCCTTTAACTTTGAGCTTGTCTGTGTTTAAGAATTAACACATAATAAGCTAATATGTGAATTCAGGGTGAAATAGCTCTTCTGCACTAATATTGCATGTGAAAATTCATTCAAATATGTTTTTGTGCAATAACCCAGACCTTGTCTACCGTGGCCATTCCAGAAAGTTAATTTCCATAAACTTTCTAAGTGTATTACACTGAATTCCATTAAGCTCACTGTAATTCTGAACTGAGTACTCACAGTTCAAATTCCTGCCTTTAATTAACTGGAATTTATTCCAAATATATTTGCATATTCAAGCTCCTAATAGAGTAAATGTCTCCACAGAGGTAGAACCTAGGACTTTAAATGCATATCCTGCTTTAATCCACACTGACTATTCCATGCAAGAGCCTGCAGTTATTTAAATGACTAATATGTCTTTACTTCTATGCTTGTACTATTCTGAAGAACTTTAAGAACCTTTTAAACAATATTTTAATTTTTTTCTTTAGTTAATTTTCAGTGCTTTCTTTTAAATTTCCTCTGGTCTTACAGGTCCTGAAATTCACTTCCCACTATTATGTTTGCCCTCAGTACATGTTAGTTTAAAAGTGTGGGATGTTAAGAAAAAAACCCCAACCTCCAAACACGTCACTTTAAAGGAATCACTTCCATCAACAGCTTGAATTCCTGCAGGAGTGGTTCTTGACTTTTTGAGCTTGTTAAGAAATAGCTCAATCACTGCTTATCTCACACTAAATACCCATATTTTTATATCTATATAGCTTCTTGTACTAATAACCAATCATGGCACAACTCTCATGTTTGCATGAGATTTGCTTTTCATCATAAAGACATGAAAAAAGATGAAGAAATTACAGTCAGGCTTATGCCATAAAAATTGAAAGTTGCATAAAAGCTCATGAAATACATGTTGGTAAAAGGTCCAACAGAAGCTTGTGTGACTGAAGTAAAACCAAGTAATTTAAGAAGAAACAGAACTGTGCATCACACGTGCATTCTAGGCTCAAAGATTTCAGAGATGAAATCAAGTTGTTTCAACACAAACAGTTCTGGAATTTATTGTATTCTTACAACTGATGTATTATTCCCTTCTATGAAAAGGGTAAACAGGCCCTTGTATGTCCTTTCTGTTTCATAACAAGTGTTCTAGGATGAGATTTGTTCTTCACTCTATTAATTAGGGGTTTGGCTACAATAAGAGCATCAAACTGGTTATCTAAAGTTAAACTGACATTTCAAGCTTTGGAGTAGAATTCATAACAGTAGGACAATAATGAGTTTCTCTTCTTAGTTCTGTATCTTAAAATTGCTGGTGACTCTGAGTCACAGCAACAGTTGTCTTAGACACTCCAAATACTTCAGAAGTACTACGTGACTTTTTTCCTGGCAATGGAACCATTAGTGATGTAAAAGTTATGAACAGCAGCTGTTAGAAACTTCAGCCACTTCTGGAATCAGGAATTCTCCCTCTGCCTTGCTGCAAATCAATAATTGACCTTTATTTTCCTCAACTCATACCTTTCTGTTACATTTCTCCAAATAAATCTATGCAGATTTAATAAAGTTTGACAGAATGTTCCTCCAAAGTACTCTAATCTTGTATTTGAGTCCTGGGCTTTGGAAAGTGAACTACAAGCCTCCATTTACAGAGAGCATGTGCATCTGTAACACACATGCAGTGTGTATTACACATACTGTAATATACACACACTGCCTTAAGAATGGAATACTGTGTTTTCCTAACCACTCTGAAATTGTTTCTGAGATACTAGTCAGGAATTTGCATTTCTATCAAAAATCAGTTAACATCCCTATTACTTCTAGAGAGAGAAATGTAGACATTAAAGGAAGCCATGCTTTGTAGCTGTTAGTCTCTTGTACCAGGAACATATATGTTTCATCCAGAAGGTTCTTTGTTTATATGAATTTCAAAGGGATGGGATCCAACCCTTAATGTAGAGCCAAAAAAGATACTGGGCTAGTGATGAGTCTGTCCATCTCCCCACTTCTACCACAGTGTTGTTTTGAAACCAAACAGCTCTCAGCCCCTTCCTGTAACTCATAAAATCCATTTTAAACAACTTTTTAAGTTGATATTAACTACTTTCAAGTTTAAGAATTTCCAATACTCCTCTCATGGCTGATTAAAAACACATCCATAGCAAGAATGTCTGTACATACAATCAAACCAGAATAAAGGCTTTTCTAAAATAATACTCTCAAATTCATTAAGCTGTATTCTAAGGCTGGTAATTAATCAGAAGGTGAGACTAAATCATCCTCTGAACATTACTAGCTTTGATCCATAAAGCACTGATAATTCCCTAAAGATCTTGGCAAACTGAATATAAGATAACACAAAATTTCCAAATCAAGAAGATCAGAATACCAACTGCAATCCTGGAAAGCACTCTAGATACCTTTTAAAAAATGCATTACAGAAGTAGATTATATTAACAAATTAGATTATTGTTGTGCATACTATGCCTAATGACAACCTGCAAAGTTACTCTGCTACAGCTGAGATGTTAAACACCGATTTTAGTTTTTTTGAAGTCATTATATTTTAAAAGCAATTAATAAAAACAAAACATGTGGGAGGGACCCAAAATTTAGTAGCTGGAGAAAGACAGTCCTGTTTGCTGAAAAGGATAATTACCTTCAGTGCTCTCCACAGGACAGGCTGATACAACCTATAGAGCATTTCTTCAACTCCTTGACGAACTTTACTTTGTTTATGAAAATAACTCAGCATCTACAAAAAACAAACCAGAGCCAAACCCCATTTTAACAGCATTTTCTACATTCAGGAAGTGGTAATGAGTTGTCTCATTTCATGATTTATTTAAGACCAGTTTTCATACAACAGAAAATTAATTTACCCCATATTTTATTAAAAAGTCTCAAAAAGAATAAAACTAAACAGATCTAACAAATATCACATTTTATAACTTTTTAGATTCGGTAAGTTTATATAAAGATCTACAAGTAATAAAAAATCATGGCTAGAGAGTTTCACAGCAACAACTCACTTTTTGTTACTGCAATAAACTGTTTTTCAAGTGACTGGCAGAAATACTGTGAAACCATGGAAGTATCAAGTACAGACACATAATTTAAGAACAAAGGAACATTATTTGGTAAGTGGAGTTATCTGAATACAAATGAACAAACATTAAGCATTTTTTATGCATTGATGAAAAGTATCAACACTCCTTGGAACTCAAAACTGCTTAGCTAGCTAAAGATCCTGTTATTTTTGTCTGAATTATGCAGAAAAGAAAGAGAAAGAGAAAGACCAGAGAACAATATGAGAAAGGACATCATGTGACATGATATGAAGTAATTCCTCCACCTGAAACACTGGTCAGTTGGAAAAGAAGTTGACCCTCTAGTGGTCAGTACTTCCAGTATTCACAGCTACAGGTGGACAGGGAAGCCAGGGAATAGCATCTACAGGAACAATGCTGTGGGAAAGAACCACTTTTTTCTCAAAACACTGAAGCAAAGACATGTTATAATTTGCAAGACACTGTGTATCTCTTAGTTCTATATGAGAAGGATGGATATAATCCAGGATTAAGGGCAAATCAATACTGTTTTGTAATAGTTTTCATTGGAACAGTGAGTATCAAATATTTGCCACAGACATTGGTGTTATAGTCTGAACTTTGAATTCAGAAGGGAGAGCTGTATATGCTGCTCTCCCCCTCTTCACTGCTCTTCCAATAAAAGAGCCCAATAGCACTGCTCAGCAGCAGCCAAGACATTGCTGTGCCATCAGCACATCCAAAACACAGCACCACACAGGCTGCTGTGAAGAAAAGTATTTCCATTCCAGCCAGACCTAGTATGTTTTTTTAGTACGAAAGGAAAACTTTCAACTTTATAGTAATTGCTCTCATTTTGATGCTACGAGTTCTTGTCATGCTTTAGAGGAACTTACCTCTCTAACTTTAGAATGAACAGCAGAACTCCTGGGAAGATGAATTCCATGATGCATGAAATCCTGAATGCAGTTATGTTCAAGTACCTACAATAAAATCACATACATGTTATTGTTAACAGAATAAAGCAACAAAAAAGTACTGAGCCGTGCAGCAACTACATTTTTCTCTAAAACAAACAACTGAAAAAAGCCTTCGATATTATTTCTTGGCAGCAACTACATTTTTCTCTAAAACAAGCAACTGAAAAAAGCCTTTGATATTATTTCTTAATTAGCTCCTGCTTGGCCCATTTTATTCCGTGCTGAGCGTCGCTGCTTAAACTGATTTTCAAAATTTCAGAATATACAGTTAATCCAATTCTCAGAACCTAAAAGCACCTCCACATGGTAAATAAGAATTATTTGTATCTGAAATTTTGCTCTGGCATTGTTGCGATGCTGTGATTATGTGTTTGATCATCTCCATGGAAATCCACAAAAACCAGAGAAATATTTAAGCTATCAACTATACAGACTTGCACAGAGTGAATAAAGACTTCGGTAACTCAAATAACTAAACAGAGAAATATTTAAGCTATCAACTATATAGACTTGCACTTAGTGAATAAAGACTTCAGTAACTCAAATAACTAAGGTGTCTATGAAAAACATTGTGCATATGCACAGCTGTGTGAACAAATATTTCAGCAGCAGAATTAAAGGTGTTTATATACAGCCAAGCTGATCACAACAGGCAAACATTCATAGAATCATAGAATCAACCAGGTTGGAAGAGACCTCAAGGATCATCGAGCCCAACCCTACTGTCGTTACCAGACCATGGCACTTAAGGCTTGTGTGGGAACCTTTCTGAGGTTGAAAGGTCATGTATTTTCCCCACCCTGAAATTCAAAACTATCCAAATGAAACTTCAAGCATACTGTTACCTCTATGGATTCTCCTGACACCTTCTTCCAGGCCCTGAAGTAAACTTCTGAAATGTATTCCATCAGGTGTCTGTAATAACATATGGAAAACACTTTCAAGCAAGCATCCTAACCATATTGATGTGCAATTTGTAAAGGTGACAACATGAGGTTTTTATAGGTACTGCTAATACTCTTAATTCCGTGCATCAACAATTTTTAGGAGAATTTATCTTTTTCAAGCACACACCCATTAATTATGAAGCTAACTCTTGATTAATGAACCCAAGCACTATGACAAGACACCGGCAACACTTCCCATGGTGGGAAAGTCAAAACATTCACACAGATATTTTATCATTTATCTCACAGTGGATGCTTCAGATTCTTTAGAGATGTACAGGTATACATTATTCTAAATGAAAGCATTGGAAAGCCTTTGATTTTAATACAAAGAATTACTTCTGCAATATTTCACTGAACAACCAAACAAAAAAAAGCCATGGTTTTCATCCATCAGTCACGTTCTTGGGCTATGACTGATTCTGCAACTCACTTCTCATTGTCTGTGTATAGAATCCCTCCAAATTAAATTAGAGGTTGCTTGTAGGAAAAAAATAGAAACACTCAACGAAATGGACCTGCAGTTCTCACACAAACACTGCAAGTAACACAGTCCAATTTCCATGAAAGTCATTTGCTTTAGCTAATGCCAAATAAGCACTTTACTACACCTATAATTGTACACCTTGGCATGTGCAGAGCAACTATAAAATGAAGTTGCTGGAACAACATGGCAGTTACATTCAAGAGATTTGAAGGTTTCTGGATTCTAATATATTTTATCAGGTATTTTTAGAGAGTGAGACAAGCAAGACTTTAGCTAAACATCAGGTATTTTTAGAGAGTGAGACAAGGAAGACTTTAGCCAAAATCTTAATGATCATTAAGTACTCTAACTGTGATGCATACCTTGGAAAGAACTGTAATTGGTTTTTAACAGTGCCATGTATCATTTTAATGAAGTTTACATTCCAGCTGAACAAAAAACTCAGGAATCTTCTTCCCTGTGGAGAGGGGAAAAGTGGAAAAAACAAAGGGAAGTCAAACCTCAGAGGAATACTCAATTTAAAAGTTCACTGAAAAATCAGTAAATACAGAGCTTAAAGATCAAAAGAAATTACATCTTTAATTTGCAAAAGCAAAGGTAAGATGGAAAAATTATTTAAGATTCTTAATTTTTGACCAGAATTCAAGCACTACTCATGCTGCAGAGAAAACACAAAGCAAATCAACACGTGGGTTACATCTCTGCCTGTACATTTCCAGTGTCCATTCTGGTGTGACTTCAAGTAGTCTTCCATAATGATAAGGGACTGTGCAACTCAGGACCCTCATCAAGGCCAGATCACCAGAGCTGTCAAATGCAGTATCATTCCAGGATGGCACTGTAATGCTGATGAAGGTACAAATACAATAGCAGGACAACTCTACCAGCACTGGATATGGAAATGTTTTTGACCAAAGCCCCAGAGAAGAGCTGGGCCACTGAACAAAATACATGTTCTGATTAGCAAGGGCAATTCTTTTCCAATTGCCATAGGAAAGGCAATATTGCAAATCTCCTGGTGCTGCTTTCATTCATGAAAACAAAAACACTTTTTTCCCAAATTAGTTCTCTTCCATTTTAGCAAATCAGAAACACTGATGACAAATCTGATGAGCAATAGAGTTTTTGCAAGAAAAGGCAGTGGAAGGCTCTGGATGAAGAAAATAAATAATTGCTCTTCTGGAATTGGAGCCTTACACAGACAGCCTCACTTTGGTTCATCTTACAGATGGAGTGAAGGCATCCAGCTTCTAAGACTTTAAAATGTCTGATCATACGTAAGAGTGAGTCAGCCAGCTCTTAAGGGTCCTTTGTTCCTGTCAGCTTTCTACTCCAAAAAAAAAAAAAGGAAATTTAATAAGGAAGTGCAATAATAAAGAGCACGTTGGCAGAAGTGCAAAAGGGTCACTGAACAATTAGCAGTGGTTCAGAAGCACTTTCATGGAGAGCTGGACCAACACTTGTCTTGACATCTATGACAAATCAGAGAAAACAGAATGCTAGGCACACATTGAGTTGGAATATCACACTGTAAGGGAAAAGGGAAGGAAGGATATAAGTGGAAACTGCCCTTTTGTGGAACTGGTACTTTAAATGCCTTTGGGTCAAGAAGTAATTCAGAAGAACACAAAAATCAAGACCTAAAGGTTAAATATGATATCAGATCCTTGTCTACAGCTCTGATGGAATCCATCCTGTAGTAAATTAGAGTTGCTTCTATGAAGACATACTGAGGAAGCTGAGGCTGTTCTCAGGCTGGAAAAGAGAAGGTTGCATGGAGACTTCATAGGAGCCCCTCAGTATCTGAAGGGGCTCCAGAGGATCTGGAGAGAGACTCTCTGTCAGGAACCGCAGGAAATAGGACAAGGGGTAATGGATCCAAATTGAAGGAGGGGAAATTGAGGCTAGATGTTAGGAAAACGTTTTGTACTGTGAGGGTGGTGAGACACTGGAATAGGTTACCCAGGGAAGAGGTGGCTGCCCCAACCCTGGCAGTGTTCAAAGCCAGGCTGGATGAGGCCTTGAGCAGCCTGGTATATATAACGCTGCTGATATATTATCAGCAGTGAAACAGATGATACAAAGTCACAAAGTAGCTTTCAACTCATTCTTTTTAGCCTTAGATTCCAAAACATTGAGCCTGATCCTGAAAATTAGAAGTGCTTCTGATTTAACCTGCTGCTTGTGATCAGTGGATCTGCAGTGATTACTGGTATTCGCATTCTCAGTATCACAAATTCTGATTTAACCTGCTGCTTGTGATCAATGGATCTGCAGTGATTACTGGTATTCACATTCCCAGTATCACAAGAGGTAAACTGGTGATAGGTGAATAAGTCTGTGAACTTGTCATCTTTGGGGTTAATGCATTATCAGAGTTGGGTGTCTGGTACTCCTGTGCTTGTGGACACTTTGCCTGAGATTTAGTCTGTTGTATACACACACAGAAGGTTAGCAAGGAAGGAGAGAGTACAACAGACCTATTTCTCAAATGCAGTAATACATGCTCTGCAGGGCTCTCCAGCTCTTTGATTGGAAACCCCACCTGAACAAGAATGTTTTCATAAATCACACAGAGATATAAATTCAGAGGAACACTCCACTAATGCAGCCTGATAATAAGCTTCTGAGACATATTACTCTGGGTTGAATAGCAGAGTCTGGGAAGGCAGAAACACTGAACTCCCTGATCTTTCTATGAGGTATAAATGTATAATTCTGTATCAATTTAATCTGATTTAGAACCAGGATACTGCATTCCTGACCCTTCCCTTCATTCTTGCATATGAACCAGTCCAGGAAGTTAATCTGCCTGAAAAATTACCTTACTAGGAAAAACCAGCTACCTCCTTCAATCAACCCAGCTGCTTGAGCATTCATACTATGGAAAGGAAAATAGGAATGCTACCCCTTGGCAATACACGATCACTGCATCCCAGAGTTAAATCAGCTCAAGCTGCTATGGAGCTATGCCCTGGGTTATGTATTCTAAAATTTAGGTATATTTTCCTAGGAAGCGAAGAACAAGTCTGCAGGCACTAAAGGGAGTATTAGGCCTGATACAGAAGCTCAGCTTCATCTCAAAGCAATTCATTCATCATGTTGATATTTGGCATTTTTATGAGCATTTTAGAAATGGCCACAGAATGCAAGAAAAAGGTCCAGCAGTGATACTGGGGGAGGGTTGGACATGTTACTACAAGGAATGTGCCACTAATGAAATGAGCGAGCCAAGGAAACTAGAGAACAAACACGAGGTGAGATATCACAAACTCCCAGGGGATGCAAATCCCAAACAAGAGGACTGGAAACAGAAGTACAATAGCTTTATAGCAACAGGAAAATGCTTTTAACACTTTGAATCTCCTGCCTGAAGAGCTAGAAAAATCCAAGCTGGTTACCATTCTGGACCTGTACTGGAAGTTCACATACTGAAGTATAATTTCTGCTCACAAACTGAGACATCTGAATTTGGATGTCCCTAAAACATTAACTGCCTGAAGAGATATTCAGGTGATCAGCTGTTTAGTAACTGTTTCATGAAGCTGAATTGTCCTGTTGACTCCACTGACTAAGGTCAGTATGCCACTACCTAAACACAGGGACCTATGACAGATCCTGTGGTTGATGTGCCAGCCCCACATGGATGCCTCAGGCAACTGCATTTAATGCAGCACAGGTCACTTAAGCAGTCAAATACTGCCCAGGACCTGTACCCATTATGCCTCTGTGTAGATGTCCAAAGTTGTTTCAACCAACCAATTTAACTGAACCCTATCCTGGGGTCTTTCCAGAATGCGTTATGGTTTCCCTTTTATTTTGAACTATATTCCTCAAGGATGTCAAGTGACTTGTGTATTTGGTTTGCATGGCAAGGTTTTGGTAGTGGTGGCCTACAGGGATAGCTTTTATGAGAAGCTGCCAGAAGCTTCCCCTATGTCTGACAGAGCCAGTGACTGCTGGCTCCAAGACAGACCCACCACTGGCCAAGGCTGAGCCCATCAGCAACAGTGGCAGCACCCCTAAGATAATATATATAAGAAGGGGAATAGAAAAAAGAAAAAAGAAAAACCCAACAAAAAACCTGTGCAATTGCAGTGGGAGAGAGGAGTGAGAATATGTAGGAGGAACAACTCTGCAGACCCCAAGGTCAGTGCAGAGAGCATGGGAGAAGGTGATCCAGGCAGAGATTCCCCTGCAGCCCGTGATGAAGACCATGGTGAGGCAGGCTGTTCCCCTGGACCCATGGAGGTCCACGGAGCTGATAGCGAGCTGTAGCCCGTGGAGGACACCATGCCAGAACAGGAGGATGCTCCTAAGGTAGCTGTGACCCCACGGAGAACCCACAATGGAGCACACTTTTGGCAGGGTCTGTGATCCTGTGAACCCAGGCTGGAGCACTGTGCTCCTCAAAGACTGCACCCCACGGAAGGGACCACACTGGAGCAGTTGTGAAGAACTGCAGCCCATGGGAAGGAGCCATGTTCATGGAGGACTGTCTCCCATGGGTGGAACACCATGCTGGAGCAGCAGAAGAGTGTGAGGAAGAATTAGCAGAGACAACTTGTAATGAACTGGCCACAACCTCCACTTCCCCATTCCTCTCTGCTGCTTGGGGGCAGGAGGTGGAGAAATCACACAAAAAAGGGAGTAGTGGGGGGAAGGCAGTTTTAGATTTGTTCATATTTCTCATTATCCTGCTCTTGTTAAGCGGCAGTTAATTAAACTAATTTCCCCAAGTCTGTTTTGCCTGTGACAGTAATTGCTGAGTGATCTTGGTACAGCTCAGAGAAGGAAGGCTGAGAGGTGACCTCATTGCAGTCTACAGCTTCCTCAAGGGGAAGGAGGTGCTGATCTCCTCTCTCTGGTGACCAGTAATAGGTCACATAGAAATGGAACAGAACTGCATCAGGGGAAGATGAGATGAGACATTAGTAAAAGATTCTTCACTGAGAGGCTGGTCCAGAACAGGATCTGGCAACAGTAACCACAGACATGTCAGCTGTGCTGACAGCCTTTGTAGCTTTTGTAAAGAGGTTTAGGCTAATAAACAGGTATCAGTAATATTAAAAAGGTGCTCTCTGAGATTAAGAAAACTCCCCAAAAGCCCACTCAAAGTTTTCAGCACTCTGAGTTGATGCCTGTCTGGCAATACCAGTGATTAAATGGAAAGAAGTGATGAAAAGATTGGATCAATAAGAGTCTATATTGTGAACAGTGGTTAAATTTTCTGCCCTTCTCAAAAAAGAATGGATGGACTAACAGAATGAAAATTCAACTCCCAACTGGGAGCTGCTTTTTTCAGTCAGTCCTTCTAGCCATAAAGCTAAGGATTCAGGATTAAGGATTAAAACCACTAATGACCAGATGTGAGAGCAAAGAGTACAGTAAGGCACTCTCTCTATCTACAAGCATATGAAAACAAATTTGTGACAAAATGTCACAAGACCAGAAATCACTGGGAGAGCAAAGAGAAAAATCTTGGGCAGAGAAGTAAATGTGCAAAGCATGGCCAAATCTGCATATTTTTGTGGAGCAAAGGGGATGTGCTTTGATATGCCAGGACAAAGATTCAGTACCAAGTCTGATTACTACTGCTTTTTTTCTTCAAATAAAAAAACCCCACAACCATGACTTTTATACTGAAGACCATGTTTCACTCAAGGATTCAAGGTACAAACTTCCTTTAGAAAATCTGTGTAGTAATTAACATGTTATATTTAAAAGTCTCACAAGATGTGGAAGAAAAAAATAACTATTATAATTAGCTCCTGAAGCCTAGATAGCAGTCTTAGTTTGCATACATAATTTCCAATTATTTACAGTGACTATATGAATATGAAATATTAAAACAATGCAGTGGATTCCAATAAAACAGAAGAAAAAAAACCTAACACAAAATTAAATATAGCTGAGGCATTTTAAGTACTGTGACAAAAACACACACAAATACACATTCTTTCAAGAGGCCAAAAAATGACCTGAAATAAAATACACCAAGGACACAAAACTAAATGCAAACTCCATCAATAAAGTCTTACCTGTCTTTCCTCTTTCCACCCATGTTTTCTCTCTTTTCTTTCCCAACTCTCACATGGTCCTAGTATATCTCAGTTTTAGTCAAAACTAAAACATCTTCAAATACAGTGTGTAAGTAACAAAAAAACCCCACCAACTTAGTGGCAGGTAAAAGCTGCTCTATCAAATATTAGACCCGATTAATTTGCTGCCCCCATTTTAGGCATATGGCCATATCCCCATCCTGTCACAATCAGGCAGCAACCTTGGAGCTTATTTTGTGACAGAAGTTCATATATTCCATGAAAGGGAACATATTTATTTTAAACATGCAAGGAGTTAGAACCTCGGAGACAATGTCAGGTGATCTTGTCACCTAACCAGAAGAAAGGCTTGGAAGTCACTGTCTTGGTGGAAAGGCACAATCTAAAACTGATAAAACAGCAATTGTTCACTAGGAGAACTGTATGTGGTCAAGTAAAGTAATTCTCTTTTTGCTATAAAGTTGGGTCCTTTTCATGCTATTTTTAAAACAGACTATGGCGATGCAATCTTCTAAATGGGACTGTTTAGAAGGAGAATAATTTTGCTACAGTTATCTGTCTCCAATAAAAGAAAAATTGCTATAAAAGAAGAGAATTATACCAGGGAATGGTTATAAGTATTGAGGGACATGCACTGGCAGCAAAGCACTTGGTTCTTATTACCTCAGGATGCAAGAACTGGAGTGACAATTTAGACATTTACTTTTGCACTTTAGTCTGGAATAGAAATTAAGATTTTTCCATATGGAACAGAATATCAACCATTTATAGCTTGGAGTCAGAGCTGTTTTGTCCCATATTGCTACCTACTATAAGGTAAAAAAAGGACTTAATGCAAATCCATTAAAAGCAACCAAATCTCACTGGCATAAAGCCACAGTAAGTTAAAAGTTTGCTTACCTCTTCTTTCTTAATGTATTTTGCACTCATAAAACAGTGAAGCAACAAGTCCTTGACTTCATTACTCTCCTCGGAATCATAATCAAAATAAGGTAATGCCTGATGTAGAGCCCACACACGAACTATATCTGCACCCTGACAGGAAAAAAGAAGCTCATGTTATAGTGAGGTTGGTACTGCTTTAATGCAAAGATGCATTTAAAGGACTTGAAATAGTACATTTGAAAAGAATTGCTACAAACAGCAGGTTTTTAGACTGTAAAATTATGAAGAATTATTTCATCACATCACTGGGAAAAAAAAAATGTGTTTAACTGCAGAAACACTGACTTCCAACAAACGAAAAAAAAAATGTGTTTAACTGCAGAAATACTGACTTCCAACAAACAAAGCCACGCTCAAGCATGGAAAGACAGTTGCCATTTCATGCAAAATACACTAAAACCATATTATTTCACTTTTGGAACTTCATAAACACAGTTAAAAGAGAAAAAGAGAAGAAAGAAGTAAGTACAGGATACGTCTATTGGGGTAGTGCAAAAGACATACATGAGAATACTCCAAGCAAACCACAGATTTTAAAAAAAGAATTTAAGTCCAATAATAGAAGACTCAGAAAAATTATCTGTAGAATGATAGAGAGTAACAGAAAACGAAGCTTCCCAAAAAAACTGTCCCTATGAGTAGCTAAACACAGTACTTATAAGCTGAATTAAGTAAAGTTAATTGCTAACAAAGCCTTAGTTGTTGGACTTAACAAAAGAGTGAAAAGGTAAAAGAGAATGCAACAAAAAAATCCCAGTTCACTTGTGAAATCGATGCCAAAGGTCTTTGAAGTTCGTTCTAGAGAAGGCAATATGTTATTAGTTTCTTATGCAAACAAAAGCAAAAAGACACTTTATAACCAAAATGTATCCTGGGTTTAAGTACTTGAGAAGCATGAGAACATGGGAAAACAAGTTAACTTGAAATAAAAGGTGTTTTGGAGGGATGATCTTTGCTGAATTATTCAGTAATAACCCAAAAGTCAATATATCATACCGTAGCAGCTTTTCTTAGGCTTTTTCTTAGCAGAATGAGGAGTAGAGTCTTCCCTAGCTGTTCCTTCCCTTCCAGTCCCTTCTCCCACCACATCTCACATACACGTTGGATAGCATCCTGTAGGGTTTTTTCAGGTGCAGGTAATGCAAGAAGAATACCTACAACAGTAACAAAATAATTATTTACTGCACTGAACCAAGTTACTCCTGTGAAACTGTAGCCTGTTACACCTTGCAATGTCAACCAGCTCCTTCCACATTTACCCTCCTTAATGGCTTATTCTCACTGTGGGTATTTAGGCAGCTTTGTTATCTCCACGGTTTTGGCCAAGCTTTTGGACCAGTAACAACAGAATCTTAAGTTCTGCCTTAAAAATAATAAAAGCTCCAGGATAAGGAAAGCTATCTGCTACTGACTGAACAGCTATGAGAAAGAAAACTATTTAAGTTCCAACTTTTAGACTGTGCAGCTGATTTTTACATAAACACTCCCTGAATTTTGTCTCATAAATAAGAGCTCACGTCAGTAGCAACATTTCTACTGTGAATTCTGTTTCTTAGGCCAGTCAGATGTCAGTCAGACCAATCAAACAGCTGACTGCACTCATCTGTATAACACTGCATTCTGTACATTTAGGTACTCACCGTTTAATATTAAACCACATTCTAGAAGCACTTTGTGGTTTACATTTTCATCCAATGCAGGTATGGAAGCAGCAACGACAGCTGCCACTCCTTTCACCACCTCTGCAGTTTGTTTCTGAAAGAAAGCAATTCTGCAGTTTGTTTTGGACTCCGAAGACAATTTCAAGAAGAAATAAACCTTAGCAACAGAGAGCAAAGCTGAATTGTTATTATGCTTCCAGCTTGAAGAAAGGGTATACTAGCACTCAAAACCTAAAGGCAAAAGATTTTTAAAGTACATCTGTTTCAAAAAGTGTGAAAAGGACTTTCAGCTCCAGCTAGTAGATAACTCTGTGACAGTACATGTGAATTCATTTCTTCACTAAAAACCTCATCTGCAGCAAAACCACTCAAACACATCCATTTCACAGCTAAAAAGACCCTAACAGTAGCAAGGTCTTGTGCAGTGCAGAAATGTGTAGATCTGTTGACCTTCCATCCAAGTATGTAATTCTGTAGGTCTCTGGGTGTTACTGATTTTCTACAAGCCCCTAGGTCTCCCTAATGATTTCTCCACTGTATTTCTTTTCTTCCTCCAAAATTAAATAATCTTTTTCCCCAATATTCTCAAGACTACATGGACTACAGTGCAGGAGGCAGTATATGAGGTTCTGAGTCAGAGAAATTCTATATAAGCTAAATTTGTGGAAGGGTCATTCAAATCTAGATTTCGTGATCTTATATGAGGTTCTGAGTCAGAGAAATTCCATATAAGCTAAATTTGTGGAAGGGTCAGTCAAATCTAGATTTCGTGATCGTCACTCACTAGAATGACATGACAAATCAGGTAGTGAATTTCTCATAGTATATGCCAGATACTTAAGGAACATCTGCAATATCAACAGTTACTTACTGAAATGAGACACACAAAAAGCTCACTCAGCTCTACTGAGAATACCAAGTCACATCTTTCATAATGAAAATGATCAGCAGATCTAGTCTTTTATAGTATAGACCAATCATATGTTCAGGTCAACACGAGCATTAATTAAGAAATGGGAAAGGAGGTGATGTTTGGAGCTCTCGCTGGATAACTTTTGCATGTGTTTAGATGCTACGGAAACCCACCATTTTATTTCCTGAAAACCAGAATGGGAAAGGAGGTGATGTTTGGAGCTGATCTCGTTGGATAACTTTTGCATGTTTTTTGATGCTACGGAAACACACCATTTTATTTCCTGAAAACCATGAAAATACTTATCATATTTTAATTTTACAAGATTCTTACAATTTCTGGAACTATCTCGACTTCCATGTCATCATCACCTCTACCATCTCCAGTTGTCTGCCAGGTTTCCACAGGGTTCTCCATCAAACTCTCTGTCAATAGCTGTGTCAGTTTCTCCCATAGGGCTTCTTTCTGCTTTCTTGACAATTCTTGAAGAAGTTCATTCAAGTCAAAAGGATCAAACGGATTTTTCTGTGCAGGAACAGAAGATATCACACAATTCCACATCAGTCAAGTGGCTTATATTTCATCACCATATTTTCTAAAATTAATGTGGGGTTTTTTTTACATTAAGGATTAATTTACATTATTCCGCATTTAGAGAGATAAAATACCTTCTAGAAGTTATGGGGTTTTTTTAAAAATAGCATAAGCAATTCCTGCTACTTAACTCTTTATCATGAAACAAGAGTTGCTGCTTTTAAGACAAAAGTCTTTAGCCATTGATAGCAATGGAGACAATTTCATAACCTTAGCTAAGAAGCTCACAACTGCACAGAATTAAAGTCCCTGATCCTACCTCTGCTACCTTAAATATAGATTGATGATGGCTGATGAAAGAAAATCCTTATGGAAGGACTCGAAATGTAAGTCAGTGCAGCCACAGGGACAGCACTACAGATTCAGGAATAGCAACTGCATACATCAGTACAGTGCACTGTTTTAAAACCTTCCCATCCAACCCAAATCCTGAGCACACTAACCCCAGACTTCCCACAAGCTCTACTGAATGGGAAACCACTATCGGTCTCTAACAGGGACTACACAAAGAGACTGATCAGAACTATTTCCTCAGAAGAACTTTGCTAGAAGAATTTACCTCAGAGACACAAGGAGCCTGTTAGCATCAAAGGCTAGGCAACCTGCTAGGAAAGGGAACATGTCGAGAAAATATGAGAAGGAAAACCAGGCACAGCCAAGAGGAAGTGCAGGTAATTTCTGAGGTGCAATTTGCAGTACTGAAGTGAAGGTTTACCAGATCAGAAACACTTTAAAGGAAAGAGGGAGAATGTCCCTGATCTTGAGACAAAAATATTTTTAGTTTGCAAATAGACAAAAAAACAGGAATCAAAAAGTCAAAGGTAAAAAGGAAAATAGAAAATAATGAAAGAAGCAGCAATAAGTATCAGAAAGTTCCCAGAAGGCTTGAGAAAAAAGATCCTGTTACACACTTATAAGAGAATTTCTATCCTATTCTACAGGTGGAAGAAAGTACAATAAACCAAAGGCCTCACAGTGAATTCTGCAGCCTTCTACTTTAAACAAACCCAAAAGACAGGATATTAAGTTTGTACTGTTCTGAACAGAAAGAATGAATTCATAATATGACTAGAGCTTTCAGATCTTTCTTTGGGATGATATAGATAGAATTACTCCAAAATCTGTGAGGGAAAAGGATAACATTGAAAAATAGTCATACCCATGATACATTATTTCTTGACAGAAAATAGGAATCTTCTTGAATTGGAATGGGAATTAGTGGGGAAAAAATAACAGCACCTGATAAAGACCTCAGTGAACAGCATTACTATATGATAATAATTTTTAAAGATTACAAGGAAAGAAAAGTGAAAAGTCCATGACAAACCCCAGAAGAAAATTAGCAAACACCTAGAATTTCAGAAGATTCCTCTTAAAGAAAACAAAAGGAAAAGAAAAATTTGAGGGGGGTGAGGTGGGTGTGTGTGGGTGTGTGTAGAAAACAGACATTGAAAGAAGCAGTGATACTGGGAACAGAACTTATAAAAAAGTTTAAAAGACAAATTCTGAGGCTAGAGCACCAAATAAGTAGAAAAAGCAGGGCAAATATCACACAAAAACTAAAGAAAGCAGAGAGGCTCTCAATATGCTTTCTTGTTCTTTCTACATTTGTGTATCCATTTCTAAATCACAGAATACACGACCACAACTTCCTCCAGAAAAGTAGTCAAGAATTTTTCAAGGGAGATCGTAAAAGGAGGATTCTCATCCTAAGATAAGACAGTCACACACCCTCTATCCCTGAATCTTCCAAAAGGAAATTAATAAAATAACTGAGGTCTCTTGGACAATCAAAAAATAACCTGGATATTCATGTTCTCTTACGCATCGAAGGCATGAAGACAGTTTTAATCCATATGCTCATTATAGCTGGTGACATACAGTTTCGAGATATTGGCAGCAGCTCAAAAGTGTTGCCACAGAACTCTTGAGAACTGGTGATGAAAATTAAAAGGATGAGAAAACCCCCCAAATAGATCAGGACATGTGAAGAAAGATTCCTAAATGCAGATAGCAGAAACAACACAACCAAATCAACTGAAAAGGAAACACTGCAAGTACTGTATGTTATACTAAACTGAAGAGTTTCTTGTTGAAGTGTTTAGATTTGGGGAAAAATGGGAAGAAGACTCTAAGCAAGAGCAATTTGGTAATAAAGTTGTCATCTGTAAGTACCTGCAGGTATGTGAATGATAGAAATAGCAAATTGCTTGGAAAAAGAGATTCAGTGATGTTTGGGAGACAAACTTTTCTAAGCTTATTATATAGAATATGATCATAGGTTTAATACATTTGGTACATTACTAAGTCAGTTCATGCCTCTATGTGCAACTGATCCACTTACTTTATCATGATACAGGTAATAACAGGAAAATGCTGATTAGAAAGCTTAGGAAACTAATGTGATAATATCACTTATCAAGGCTAGTAAAAGATGTCTAGAAGAATCAGGTATATCTTAATACCAGGAAGACTGAAGCTTAATGGAAAACACCAGAAGGCAAATTATTATTTCTCACTATTACACAATATCATATACACAATGTGAGAGTGAACTTGTAATAGCAGATTTCAGGGGGTGTGTTTTGCTGTTCCTCCCACTTCTCTCCACACTTCACTTAGAGAGAGCAAACTACCCTTTCCCTAAAGCATTCAGTGATATCAAGAAGTATTTGAATATAATTAAACATGGACTAAAGAACAAGTGAACAGCCTAAAGTATCAAATGAATGAACCAGTGAAATATGCATCTGCTATGTTTGTACATTAACTCATATTCATTACATGCCAATAATCTCTTTCATAGCTTGAAATTTCAAAAAACTTAATCGACATCAATTATTTTCAGCATTATCCCAGCACTAATAATTTATTTTTTAAAATGCAACATGTACATGGAACAACCAAATGTCAAAAAAATTAGTTGCTTTAAAAATAGCAACATTTGAGATTCTAACACATCTCCCAGCCTATGTTCCTCTAGGTGCCATTGGAACTTATTTTCCACAGCAATTATTTCGGCACATCTGCAAGTGCCTATGAGTTTCTGTCCCTATGTCATACAATTTCTGCACCTGTAACAGATTTGTGATTTCACTAGTGATCCATGTGCACATTGGCTTACTTACTGCTTTCTGGATGCAATGCAAGAAGTCTTCAATGGACTCTTTAGACACAAGTTGCAAAAACGCTTCACGTTTCATGGTGGAATTGTTTCTCTTCGCTCTATAAACAAAACAAAATGTTGGAGAAAGTACTGTATCTCAGAATAAGATAATTTTGCCCTTAGTTATAGTTGGCATAGTAGTTATATATAGCAATTTTATATATATATATGTGTCTCAGAAAAAGATAATTTTGCTCTCAGTTATAGTTGCATAGTAGTTATATATATAGCAAGTATATATATATATGTATCTCAGTACTATATATAGCAATTATATATATATATGTATCTCAGTATAAGATCATTTGGCTCTCAGTTATAGTTGAATAGTAGTTATATATATAGCAATTATATATATATATATGTATCTCAGTATAAGATCATTTGGCTCTCAGTTATAGTTGAATAGTAG